CATTGCATCACACACAAATCTCTCCACTTAACAGCGAAAGTCTTCAACAGCAGATATTGGTAATAGGCAAAGTCTGCATCTTCATGGTGCACCCTTAATAGCCTCTGTTGTACTGCATGCTTCACCTTAAATTTTCCAGTGTACTGTGCTGCAGAATTGACAAATCCATTTGCAGGAAAAAAATTCAGCCTGATCCAAGATGTTGTTGGGGCAACTGAATTTGGTGCCATTCTGCTTAATACCTGTTCCCTTAAGTCATGCACAGAAATAGCAAAAGGCATGTATGCAATTTCATTCTGACGCCGTTCATGGACAACACTTTTTTCATCTAAAAACTTTTGCATTTCCTCCCAAAATGGGTCATATTTAGGATCTTTAACACGTCCATTCAATGCTCTTAAGTCTACAAGTAGTTTCGGATCATCAGAATTCAAGAAAAATTTGGAAACTCGTTCATCAATAGCATCTTCAGCTTTATTTGATGGAGTAAGAGTGTATCCTGTTAGGTATTGATACAAAGACCGTAAAATGGCAGGCTTCTCTTTGCATGACTTGGCATACTGTTCTTGGAACTCCTTAAACATTGCTCTTGTTGCAAATTTTGGAATTTTGGCTTTGACATCATTGATTATGGATATATCTAATGTACTTTCTCTCTCAGACTTCTCTGGCTGTTTCCAAATGATGTTCATATTTCCTAAATAGTTTCCATGATGGTATGTGAATAAACCAACTGCAAATGGCAGTTTCAGATCCTGTATCCATGCTCGTCTGTCAAATCTCTCTGCTGGTTCAAAGTCTATCAAATCAACAGGTGTGTACACAGGAATGGTATTCAGGTGAGTTATTAAAGCATCATATCTGCTTGATGTGTGGTAATTAGGAACACTTTCAATGATGCTGAAACACCAGTTATCAGTAAGAGACCTGATAGGTTCTGTAGATGTATGCGTTTTCTTAGAGCGTTCAGTTTGTTTTTGCAGGAAAGACAGATACTTTTCTAAAGAATGTAGTAACTCCTCCAAAATGTTTCGCAGTGATGAAAACTTCCGGTTAAATATCCATGGCAGCATTATTAGAGAACCCAGTGACTCTGCTTGTAGCTTCAACTCCTCTGAGGTTATCTTAAAAATTGAATAAAATAATTTTAATATTTTTGAATAAATATGAAAGAATTCCTTTCATTTTTTAAAAAATATAAATTTAATATAGTCAAACTACTTGATGAAACAAAAATTTTTCTTGTTTTATTTTGATCAATTTTATTTCATTTTTAACATTTGAATTAAAATGTGAGTACAAAAATACAAAAGACAATACCCTGGGTTGTTGCTTGTGCTGTTTTTTCCAGTCTCTGTATCCTGTAAATTTGTTAAGCTTTTCTGGAATACTGTATCCCCTTTCAGCAAACTTGTAGTGAAAAGGGTCTAGATACCACAAGATATCACACAAACTGGATATAAAACTACTGGCCATGGACATTTGGCTTGACAGGAAACCGACTTGCATTTCTTTCAGAAATTCAACTAAATCATTGAACAGCCGATCCTTTGAGGTATTTTCATTTCTGAAATTTATTTGAAAAAGATATATTATCAAAAAATCTAGATCAGCAATTCTTATTTTAAACGTGGCTGGTGCAAGAGAAAATTCCATACCTCTTATTTGGCAAATATTCATATTTCTTGGCCATTTGCATTAATACATCAAAGGCAGACTTGGAGCACGTAGCTTTAGGTTGGGTATCTTCATCTTTGAGTGATACATACAAGAATTTAATTCCCATGTCTTTTAAAATTTCAGATGGCATAGAAATATCCAAAGTCACCGATTTTGTAATGTCCAATACTGACAACAGACTTCTTTCACTCCCGTTTACTTTATCAACAATCTTCATCTCCTTACCTAGCTTTTCAAGCTCATCATTGATACCTATGCCGATATTGTCTTTCCAATTCAACTTAATAAACTTGTTTAAAATGACATCTCCTCCACTGAACACTTTCAGTCCAAACCACGCATGGCTATCCATCTTGATAAATTCACTGTTTAAAGACGCTTGAATTTCAAAACAAAGTGCTCATGTTTTCAAACGTTTTGCAGATTTCAAATTGTAAAGAGTTATTTTAAAACCCACTTCGGTTGAACCTGAATTTTCCGGAATTCAAAGATTGTTTTTTTTCTTCATTTTTCATTTTTTTTTTTTTTTACAAATCGGAAAAAATAGAGTCGGCGGATCCGTAAAACGAAATATAAAATTTCTCTCGCCTTATTTTTTTTAAACAAAAACACCATGAACCACTTACGATTTTATTTCTTGTGTTAATCTGATAAATACATTGAACTTAAATAAATGTTGTATTAAATTCGGGCACGAAGTTCTAATCATTGTTACAACAGAAATGCATTTACGTGTAAACCTCCTATCAGAGCATGTGGTTTTATTTCTACAAGTGTTTACAATGTTTTACATTCATCAATTTACTCGTTCATATTTATTTATACTTTTACCGAGTACCCGGGTACTCGATCGGATAAACGTCCGAGTAACCGAGTATTAAAAATTGACCGATTTGACATCCCTATTTTTTATATATAGTGTGTTCCTTAATGAAGTATTAGAACAAAAATACATTTAGCACCAAAATCTGTCGTTGTAATCTGGCGACAAAAAGGGAAGTATAATTCAAATTACACGTCGTCTACGCAAAACGAAAGAAGAAAGTGAATCATAAAACAGTCTCTCGGTTAATGACAATGAAACTCAGAAACGATGTTTTGAGAATAAAATGATGAAGTAGAAAATAAAAAATTATTGTCTAAATAAATATCTTTTTAAGATAAACCCTACTTGATTTTTTCATTACGCATGGTCGGTATAAAAATGACCAGGGCTTCAGACCAGGGTTAATTCCACGACAGCTATGAAACGGGAAAAGAATCAACTGCATCCTTTTTTTCCGGGATTTATTATTAATTTCAAACATTTAATACAAAGCAAGATGTTATATTCCGAGTAATTTCGCTTATAAAACGTATTAGTATACCGTAACTTCCTCATCATAATAATGTCTCGAAGAAAAGCGACACGATCAGGTTTGTCTTATAAATAGAAATTAGCTTACTCATGAACAATGTTACAATGTTGTCATACTTGTTTTAAAAAAATAATTTTATTTAATTCCATGATACTAGCTTCAAACGCAGATCGGTTTATTTTGTTAATTAATGGAAGAATAAATGTACGTTAACTCACGTTTTGACACGGAAATTATAAAATTATTGATTGTAATCGTGATATGAAATCCTCCCCTTTTAAAATTAAATTTATAATATATATTATATAGCCATGTTTTTCTTATCATTTATTTAATTATTTAAAAGATAGATTATATTTATGGCATATTCTTATGAATTAAAAAAAGAAAAGAACGATTTGATTGCTTCTTTATCACGTTGGCATACAGTGGGGTAGGCATCAAAAGCCTGAAAGTTAATTTGATGGACGGTACGATCTCCAGACAAGGTACACAAGATATACACAACAGCAGCAAACTAAATGTCAATCAAATAATAGTATCCAATCCCAGGCTTAATTTTAGATGATTGACAGAGGTTATAAGACCAGGTAAATTTGAAGGAGGTGCTTATTTCCTCCCCCTTTAAGAAACCGAAAAAAGCTAAAGTACTAACAGATTTAAGCATACTATCTGTAAAGTCATCAAAAAGTCCTTGATCAAGCAACAAACACAAATTTGTTAAAATATCTATGGTAATAGGCAATCGAATTCTTTTGTTTCTATTACAGTGTGATTTCTTAATTCCTGACAAAATGGTTTGCAAACCTTGTAGTGGTTTCCCATTACTTTCTAAGGGGTTAAAACCACCCATTCGAAGATATATGTATCGTATGCCACTTAAATATAGTTTGATAGTTGAATAACTTAGTTGCAGCTCAGAATGACAATAACTGACATATTGTATAAACACTTTTTCACACACAATAGGCAGGCCATTATAGGAAGTTAAATTCATCAACGTTACAAATCTGAAGAAATTCCCCAAGTCAAAATGAACAGCTGTAATTTAGCTGTTAATTAACCTTCCCAGTTCACATTTAAGGTAGATCGCGGGTTTGCTGACGTCACAATTAGATTCGACGTAAAAAGCTTACTACGTTTACAGTATCATACTACAAACAAGCAAAAAGTATTTCCATCAGTATGCATCATAAAATCAAACAAACATTAAAGCTTGTTTTGTCTGTAAAAATTTTATTTAATAATGCAATAAAAAATAAAGGATTAACTAATATCTAATCAATACTTAATTAAATTAAGAGTTAATATAAAGTTAAAATATGAAAGGTCAAAATTGATTCAAATAACATGACTCCGTGTTCCATTGAAAATAGTGTGACAATTTAGGTAAATTATGACAATGTTTACATGAATATTTATTGTCAATCAATGAAAAATTGAAAATGTGGATAAAACAATTTTTATTTTCAGTGAATTGTTGATTACATTGTGATTCTGAGACGTACGTAAATAATGACGTCGCAGTAACGTTATATAACGTCTTAATGAAATTATATACGTTTGTTACAAATTTGTAAAACTTTAAAGTTTTTTTGCAAGAAAATGAGCGAGAACACATATTAATTTTTTTTAATAGATCGATTCGAAATTTATCTCACATTCATCGTGTTGAGTAATATAAAATTCGTCTGCGCCGTTTCTATATTATAAGCATGGTTTTGAAATGCGTTTACCGGTGAGAAAGGCGCATTTACTATATATTTCATTGTAATAGCGTCACCAGTTCTCATCAACATTAGTGCCTTTGAAAAACGATAACAATATAACCACGCAGACGAATCTCACAAAAATTTCAGAAAGTAAAATTTGAATCGAGAGGATTAAGTTGACAAATTTTTGGAGTATGTTTTCAGGCAGACAGTAAACCCGCGATCTACCTTAACAACTGTTCTTTAGCTGTTCCTTAGCATTCCAGTTCACTCACTTTATGCAAATTAGTAATTTGCATACACACATTCCAATAGCAGTTAACAGCAGTTATTTAGCATTCCCAGTTCTTTAGCTGTCGTATAGGCCGAAATATTTTAATGAGCTCTGTGAAAACAGCTGTCCGATATGAATATTAATGAGAACTGCTTCAAAAACTGCTGTAAGCTATTTAATATTCAGGAGAACTGCTAACAAGTATTTCCTTATATGGACATCCCAGTGACTTAAAACTGCTAGGAACTGCTGTAAAACTGCTAGGAACTGCTACATAATGCATACATACAGATTATTTACAACACCATCAACAATGTATATAATTATATACAATTTATTAATATATTATTTTAAATGAAAGAAAATGTACACATTATGTTCATAACCAATGCATTGGATCCTAATTCCTATCTGTTGACAAACATACAGAACAGCATATGGAGAAAGTTTAAACTCTTCAGCCACAAATTTAATAATTTTTCATTAAAAAATATAAGAATGTGGAATTTTTAGATAATAAATAAAATAGAAATCTATTCAAGTGGTAGTAAAAAGTACAACACTATTAGGTATTGGAACACAGTAATATAGAATATTTACTAAGAATATTTAGACTTTTTATATCAATCTTGATTAGTACATTACACATACTTTACAATATTTGTGTTAATAACAGCTACAATTTTAAATCTTTAATAGGTACATCTAATGGTATTGGTCTTTGCCACTTTCTACCTGCGTTCCTGATTCATTTCTCACAATTCAATTAATATCCCAGGGCTTTCTTCACACCCATCTGTCCAATGAAAAATTTTCTCCACTTCTTCGTTACTTGTAAGGTCACTGCATGTTTAATGTTTGCCGGCTGCTCTTGGTCACTTTGCAAATCCTATCAGTTAAAAAAAAAACACACACTTTAAAGTTTCACAGTTGAATAAATAAAATTCAAATTAATTGCTAACCTTTTATAATCTAACTTTATATATACAAATTTAGTTTCTTCATTTTTGTGTCAATTTGTTTACAATAATTGAAGGCATTCATGATTATAAGATTAGTGATTTAATTAAAATTTTTCTTTAATATCTAAAGCTTTTCCTAAAATAAAAAAAAGAAATATATACCTCATATATAGGCCCCGTTTTTAAGTCCCAATCACTGAATCAGGTCCAAGAAAATCACTAGATCCACCTATATCTTCTCCTTCTACAAAAATATCGTATAGGCTATGGTAAATCAGTGCAAAAAAAAAACAAAAAAAACGTGGCTATATCAAGCCTTCAAGACTTCTCTGAGCTGACTGAAATGTGGCTTAAACGTAGCAGATTTACAGCACTTATTTTTTATTTATCAACAGACACACATGTATTAAAAACATATACCTACTGTATATAAAATATCTGCATCTTTTTTTAGATATAGCAATCCAATCTCAGTCTTATTGGTGACTGCAATCCCCCTCTTCAGAACATTCTCTTGCCTTCTCTCCAAACTTTACAATATGGCAGCCAAGGTTGTTGAATTTTGGCGGTCTGTTGTTTGAATTAATTGAACACCAAGCCCGACATTCCAACAGTTTCTCAATCCCGATCAAATAATACATAACAGCTAACAGAAACAGAGAACTGCTGTTAACTCCAAAGCAGTTTTTTTATTACTTGTTGTGAGATGAACTGCTGAAGAACAGCTTAAAAACAGCTAAGCTTACTGCTCTTGAAACAGTTTTGAAAACAGCTCATGAAATGAACAGCTGAGAACTGCTAAATAACAGCTGTAAATTTGAAAAACTGGTAAAACACTGCTATCTAACAGCTAAAAACAGCAGTTCATTTTGTCTTGGGTTCTGGAAGCCAATCTGGTATTGACGTCTGGTCTTGTCACCAATAGCTCTATCCCAAAGTTTGTTCACAACGGCTTGAAGTCCCATAAAACTTGGTGTAACGGGGGACACTTGGTTGGATTCTGGTCTGCCTGTGGAGCTAGATTGCGAAATCGCTGAAACCGATATTATTTCTTTCCGTATCGTCGGTGATACTGCCATGACATGTTGTAAGTCCGAGGATGGGACGCCACTCGTACTCGTCTCCTTCATGGTACTTTTGAATAAATTCGGCTGCATTTGGGTCTGCGTTAATTGATCTGATGATCCGGCCGCGAAAGTTGCACTGCTTCGGTTTTCGTAGAAGTTGCGTAAAGAATAATCTTCTTCTTTTTTATCTTTTGTTGACTGCTGGATTAGTTTCACTGTCTCCTGTAATGCTACGGCAGTAGCCATCAACACTGAATTTTCATTGTTTACGTTTCTCTCCGGAACAGTGATGCTTGGTCTCGTTGGCGCATGCGCGTTTTCGGGCACCGCATTTCCGTCAGTGTACGTTGAGGCCCTGACATGGGTTAGCACAGAATTATCAACAATGGATGAAGCGGGTACTTCGTATACACGTTCAGTGGTATTAGTACACTGTTGTACTAAGTTTCTGTTTTCATTCCTTACCGCGCTTGGTATATTATGAGCCAGTTCACTATGTTCTGTTTCCCCATCCCCCATGTTATCTAACCACAGTTTAACTAATATTTTATGAGGAATAGCATGTTTAATATCTATACCGCAAAGTTTTAGTTCATATTTCAATTTATCAACTGTCCAGTTGTTAGGATCGTCAACAGATTCTGTCCTACGAACCCTGGATCTCGATCTCGTACAATTCATGGCGGGGTCAAAGTCCAAAGGCACGGATCAATAATTCATAACAAAAACACTACCGCATGGTAAACACGTGTAGTAAATCCAGTATAAGCAGTATGTCTGCGTAATGAAATATCCAAGAATATAATTCAAATGGAAAATAAATAAATGTTATAATAGCTTTGTAAAATTACAAATTCACGATGCTGCCAGCCATAGCGTCATTATCAGAAAGAGGCTGGGTATTTTCCCTCCGAAACTTTGGTCATCTATGGGGCGCCTGACGGGGAAATTTTCCACTACGGGGCCTCATTAAGGAAAATGAAAGTGTTTATTTGTTTACCTGGTATAAACTCAGTTTATACCTTCATAAACTTTAATTAAATTTAGGAATTGACTGGCAAATATTTATTTCACGCATTTTACACTTAGATAGATATAAGAGTTCTGCTGTATGAAGCTTGGGGTCCGCCACCGTTACTGTGGCTGGTTGCGTATGTGTGGTTGTCTTGGCCTGGTTTCCCCTTTGCTGTGTTCTGGTGTTTGGTGGGTCCTCCTGCAGGGTCCGATTAGCATGTTTGGGTCGCCTCCCTAGCCCTCTGCCTGGCGACACAAAGTTTGGGTCCTGCTCCTCCCTGGATGGCACAGTGACTTTCCCTCTCACTGGCGGCATTTCTTCTCAATTGGGGTGTGAAGATTGATTCGCTTTCTTCAGATATTTTCTCTAATAATTTGTTACAGCGAATTTTCTTTGCCGTGCTCTTTTACTGAGTACCAAGATGGTTTTTGGATTTTAGCCAATTCGTTCTATTATTAGTTCTCACGATATTATAAGATGCTTCCATCAGTTTAATGAGATTAATTTGGAACAATGGCAAATTAATCTGCCATAACTTTCTTCATTTAATTACAGAACAGGTGTATATTTTTCAACAGGTATAATCAATTTCAACAACCAATGAAACAGACCTGCCAACCAAAATTGATGCTGTGGGGGGTCATGGCACAACATTCAGTTTCTGAAATGAAATGTTGGGTCATAGTATATGACGACATTTTTGAAGTTTATATAAGTAACAATATAGTCCCCAATTTTTAGACATCAATGCAAACACATACATGTATATATTACATTTTATTGCAGGCTTATAAATTATAATCTTCACAGGCTAGTTTTGCTTGCAGAGGGAAAGCATTCATGACAGTCATGGTCTTTGTTCTGTTTTGTACATAGCAATTAGCAAACTGTGTCATTTTTCAGTTCAGATCTGCATTCTGTGACAATTTTTTTCAGTATGGAAAACATTCTCTCAGAATCTGCATTAGAAATGGAGATTACAAGACACATTAAAGCAAGTTTGATTAAACAAGGAAATCTTTTCTTTTTGTTGAATGTGTCCTGCATTTTAGCTAATTCTCCCCAATATCTCTCAACTGATGTTCTGTCTGGTAGTTCAGCATCTGCCATAAGTTGGTAGTCCATGAACTCATCTGTAAACTTATGTAGCCACCACCAAAGAATCTCTCCATCATATCACCAACAATTTCTTTCTGGTTGTGAGTGGATTATAACGGTGCATTCTCTTTGCAAATCCAGAAAACTCTTCTGGAATTTATTTCATCTAAGTTGGTAAATTCTGTATAATGTTTACAGATCCCACAATTTGACACTCTACATTTTGTGTTCCATGAAAGAGTTTTGTAAGTTCCCCATTAGCACTTTCAAATGAAAAACAAGAAGAACCCAAAGTGGTCCTGTGTCATAAACACATTGTGGTAAATGCAAAAGTCCATGCATATTTAGTGTCAGGCATCTTTCACCATATAGTTCTGGAACAACCATCACAATGTACTGCAACAAAATTTGACTTTCTGAATTAAATCCTCCGATATAGAATTTCCACATAGAAGAATGATGGCTTCAACAAATGCAGCATAATGAATATAATAGCTTCCAATCAATATGTTCCTTTGAACAGGTTATGAATAATAAAACAACCATGAGCCTGGTTCTGATGCCTTCCAATATTTGAAATGACAACTGAGGGTCCATGGTACTCTAGAAATGAAGGAAGTAGGTTTGATCAAAAGAAGTCTTAATTTATCAATGAGTTCTGAATAGGTCGCTATGGAAAATGTCTCTTTACTGTGTTTTGGTGAAACCCACAGAGAAGTAAGTAACTTTGTTACCCCAAGTAGTATCCCATGCATATAATCTATACAAGATCCCTTTACAAAATTGTACGCCTTCAAATCCATAAGAATTGATGGTCCTTTGATGCCTACCACTTTCTGTTGATTTGATTGCATTTTGTATGGATTGAAGCTCATCTCGTTCATGTTCCATAATATTTTCACCCTTGTATGTAAATATTCTCCCTTTCCAGTTTTGTATGTCTGTCCTTCTAGTGTACACTTCTGACAGCTGTATATGCCTCATTAAACTTGTTCATGTTTAAAATGCAATGGCTTTCCAAAAAACAGGCATGAAAGGCTTAATTTCCCCAAACCATAATCCTCATAGCATCATATTTTCTATGAGTTTCCTTTCTTTTTTTGGTAGTTCATTTATCATAAGGTACACAGGCCAAATGGAAAACTTTGAACTCTTAAAAATGGGAACACCGTCTGTGTTCATGGTAAAAGATACATTATATGGATGATGTTCCGTCAGTGGCCCATTGTTTGAGGAAAGCATTTTATATATTTCTCCATCATATATGTCCTTGGTGCATGATTTATTTCTTTTTACCTTTGAAAATCTGTGTTTGATAGCATCAACAAATCCCTCATGATTAAATAAGTTCTTTAGTTGTTCAGTTATCGAAATTTCTAGGAAATAGCCTTTGGAATTACCCCTGCAAGATGGATCATGAATTTTCTTGAATTATTTCATGAATTTTATTCATGAAATGTTCATGAAGATGCTATGAACTTATTATTGGACATTTTCAAATCTTTAATTTTTTATTCATGAAAGAAAATTGATGAATATTCATGAATATTTTTTTTCATGAATAATTCATGAAGAGTCAAATTCATGAAGATTCATCATTTCAAGAATGTCCAATGATAAGTTCATTGGATCTTCATGATCTGTTCATGAATAATTTGATGAATTTATTCAGGAATGTTCATGATTGAATAAAATTCATGACCCTTACAGATAAGAATGCCATTGAAATTCCATTGAAAGTGCATTCTTTTTCAGGGCATTGAAACACCATTGATTTTCCAGTTTTATTTCTCTGCATAAACTGGCACTATTTAATGTCTACCAAGAAAAACCAGTTATTTTCTAGTTTCCAGTTAAAATACAGTGAAAGTCCATTGAACACCATTGAAAATGAATACTTATGCAAATAAGTTTGAACCAGTTTGATGATGTCATATTTTAATGAAAAATCAATGGAAAAGTAATTCTACGGAAATACATTAAAAAACCATTGAATACTCATTGTTTTTCAAATTTATTCATAGAATATACTAAAACATATATAAAGATTTATAGACGGGGTCACGTGACCCCGTCTTTTAGTTTACTGTCAGAAGCCTCAAAACAGGAAGCTGTGGTGATAACACATGAATTAAATCTACGCATACGAAATAGTGCAGAAATTGTTTTGATCAAAACATAAACATTCTGTATCAAACTGAAGAATGTGATATGAACCTTTCTCTAACTCAAACTAATGAAGTATTTTGATTATTTAAAACTAAAAATATTAACCGTAAATCACACTAGTAAACAAAGTGCTATGCTGTGTATTATTGTGACTGCGTACGCATCATCCAATGTTTACATCCGGAAAAAATATTAATTCGTACTAATGAAATTCGTCGCAGTTCAGAAAGGCTTCCAGGCTGAGCAATTATTAAAATTTCTACTTCAAATCAAATGAAAAGTGTGAATGTATATTACTCATCGTTTTGTTTTTATTATGTAAATGAAAAATCAAGTTGTTATCTAAACCTGTAAAAAAATCACATTTGTGAAATCTAGCTAGCATGAAGATTAATATGACCCTGTCTTTCAGTACAGTCTCAGTACTTTGATTTATACAGCATATTGATGGTGTATTAATTATAAGACAGGAAAACCATGCATGCATGTAAAACATGTAAGTTCAGGGTCTTTTGATCCCTTCAATCATGAAAAAATTTGACTTCAATTTACCATAAAAATTTTTATGTAATTGTGTATATCTTGTTCCCAATTTGGAAGAACTGGACTACACGTAACAGTTACCTACAAAACAATATCCATGCAGGTACATTAAACCTACATGAGGTACTCTAAGGTGAAAGAAAACCCCACTTTAGCAGCTCATTTGAACCAAGTCCACAAGACAATTAGTCTCTCTGAGCTGATAAAGGAAGTCTTTTACTACTGGTGTAATTTATTAAAATAAAACATTTAACTGATTACAAGTCTCATAAGTTTATTATTAATGTCTTTAATTAAAATGAAACCACTACACTAATTATCTAATAACATAAATGACAAATGTTTTTTAAAACTGACAAATCTTCTACATGTGATATTTCATGTATCACTAACAAATACAAAAGAAAGTAATTGTTCAGTCTGGAAAAAGATTTCACACTTGCTTCATTTAAACTACTTGTTTTGCTTCATCGCCTTAAACTTCATACAATCCTTGATGAGATGGCCCATAGACTCGCAATAAAGGCATGGTCCTATCGGTTTTGACCCACCCTGGTTCAGTCGCCCCCTATTTGGCCTATAACCCTGATAACTCGGATTAAACATATATCCATAATTATATCCCTGGGGTTGGTAGGGCATCATTAATGGCATGGGTGGGAATGAAGAGTACAAATTGTGAAGGGGAGAGGAAGACGATTTCTTCTCTTTGTCTGATTCCTTAGTCTCCTCTTGTTCTTTTTTAGATTTTACCAATGCTTTTCCCACCACATCCGAGGCTTTACCCCCCATGACACTTAAGACTAAAGTAACGAGGTTAATTTTCCCCTGATTTCTCGAGGCTTGTCTATACAGTTCTTCGTATATATCAACATCATCAATTTTTGCCGATCTAGACGTTTTGGCCAACTCATCCAAGGCTAATAAAATGAGGGCTTCACTGGGGCTGTTTTGGTTGGCCAAAAGCCTCACCTTTTCTTTTATTGCTTCAACTTCTTTCTCGGTCGTCTGGGTGGTAGTTGCACTTGCCGATGAGACTTTTGCTTTTTTAGTCTGAGGCACCTCATCATTACGCTCTTCGTTGACAGCGTCTTCCGTTTCCTAATAAATAAATCAAACTTTAATCAACTGTCCCATATCTGCCCTGTTAGTAGTCACACAAATACAAGTAAAACATTGAATTTTCGTTTCTACTTTCTAGTTACTAGAATAACTTCCGGTTGTATCTAATATCAAAACCAACATCAAGAATTCTCTCCGGAATACTGATAACAAGTATCGCAGATCTCGTCGGCTGCTGGAACGCACGCAGCAATGACCATCTTATCTCTACAAACACTTACCAAACGTTGCAAGGTCTGGGAGGCTGGCTGGCCAACCTCATTGGCCTGAATGATTGTATAATGTAATAGATGTCGAAGGTTCGCCTCTGTCGCTTCTTTCTGCGCCATATCTAGTATTTCCTTTTCGTCCTCCCCAGTAAGTTCGCGAAAAGCAGAAATCAGTTCCCCGCGGGGCATGTCTTCCATGGATGTAGTACTTTTTATTCTCGCAAACGACGTTACTCTTCCCGTTGCTTTCATCTTTCTTACAATGGGAATATTCTTGTTTCTTCTCCGGCCAAAGTCTGGCATGAAAAGAACCCAGCTGCTGCGCTCAATCACGTGACGTCACTGAGGATAACAATATGACAGAATCGACTAATTTTAGGGGCACAGCTGTGTAAAAAGTATAATTGTTGTGTCACTTCAGTTGTAAAAAATGTTACCATGTTACACACATAAGGACAAAATACTAAAGTAAATTAATAAAAGCACAGATATAAATAAAGTAATTTATGTCTATGATAAAAGTAGATTCATTCTAATTTCTTGTTAGTTGAAGTTATAATCATCATGTATATATCAAAGATGGAGCATGGTAATTAGGGACTCATGGGTATGTCTGTTCATTCTAAATCTGTCATGAAAATCATCCATTCTATACAAGGGTAATATTGTTTCAACATAATAGTGACACAAGCCATCCTTTGTCACCCCTTTTTTTAAAAGAAGGGTAGAACTCAGAATGGGTATTACAATTACACTCTCATGTAAATGAAGATAAGTTGTAGAAATATCTTCTTCATATTATAAGAAAAAAATCAAGTAATCAGTTCTATGTCATCCATATTTGATATTTGTGTGTGTTTTAACTGAAACTTTCCATTTAGTGCTAAACCATTAAACCATAAAACCGGTTTCAAAATTAATAAAAACTATTTTCAAACCATAAACCTAAACTAAAACTAGTTTTTGATCAATAAATTTGCCCATTATAAACATGGTTTAATCTGAGTTGTCTTACCCGATCTTCTACATTCAACAAATTCAATGTACCAAGAACTTTATAGTTTACGGTATGCAAAGGGGATAGATTAAGTATAAATCTCACCATTTTGTTTTGGCATATTTGTAATTTCTTTTTAAGGCTATTTGATAAACCAGCATACCATGCACAGCTGGCATAACCTAAAGTGACATTGTACAAGAGCAGAGCATAATAGCATTTTACTTCTTATATCTAAAAAACGAGCTTGTCTGTATAAAAAATGCAACCTATTGTTAACTTTTTTAACAATGGACTCAATAATGAATTCTCCACTCAAAAATTGATCAATAAAAATTCCTAAGTATTTAACTTTTTCCATAGAATGAATTGTTTGACCATTGCACTCAATGTGAAAATCTTGAACCTTTGTAAGTTTCTTTCTTGATCCAAATAAAATACATTCAGTTTTTCCCAGGTGTAGTGATAACTTATTATCAACTAACCAGTTTGAACATTGTTTTAAAACAGTACTAAGTTTTTCTGAAATATAATCTACATTTTTATGTGAAAATAAAATTGCACTATCATCTGCATATAAAATAAGTTTGCAGTCAGGGTCAATACTAGTAGCCATATCATTGACATAGATTAAAAATTGTAGAGGGCCTAAAATACTGCCTTGAGGTACCCCACATTTTACTACATCTGGGTCAGACATAACACTTTCTAATTGTACAAATTGCTTTCTATTTGACAAGTAAGATCTAAACCAGTCAGTATTTCTTAATCCAATGGCATTAAGTTTTCTTCATAAAATTTCATGATCTACAGTATCAAAGGCCTTTTGAAGGTCGAGCATGACCATACCTGTATATAAACCTTTTGATGTATTTCCTTTTATAAAATCATACAAATGTATTAAACAAGTTTCAGTAGAAAAATCTCCTCTAAAACCAGACTGAAATTCATATAAAATTTTATATTGATCTAAAAATTTAACAAGTTGTGAATGAACAGCTCTCTCTAAAACCTTGGAAACAGTACTCGAAATACTAACAGGTCTGTAATTACCAACCTCAAGTGAACTACCCTTTTTATACAGAGTTAACGGTGTCCCAGGTGAGGGGTCAGAGTGAACTTCCACTAGAGCATCAGTTGTTGTTGCACTAATTGACTTTTTGTTACTGGTTTCAGTCGCTGCTGGGCCTCGAGGAAACGTCTGCCTTATAGAATGTAGGAGAAGGCATTTTTGTCCCACAGGAATGGTTGAGGGCAGATCGTTTTCAGCTGGTAGTGAGAGCGCCTCCATGCTATCATACCCCAGCTCAATAAGTATACTTGCCGTGTGGGGTGAAAGTTTCTTCCGGTCGGCCCACTTGGTCACAGCTTCTTCATCGACTGCCATTTCTATTTCGTTGTCGGATAACATGATGATTAACAATAAACAAATGTACAATCACATACACAGAAAATGCAGGCTAGTATTCAATGGGAATGCTGGTCACGCACATGGCATGCAGGCACAGGAAAGAAATCCTGAGGGTAACAGAAAATACAACCATTACAAATGCGAAGCAGTCCATTGTCTCCAGAAATAGCGCATCTGTGAGAACTTGATTGGCCTCCTGAATGATTGCAAAAAGTCTCTCAACTTACTCGTCGCACATAACATACCAGGCTGGGATGTTGAAGAAGGAGCGAACGTAAAGTCTCTGTGCCATGTTGAAAGTAATCACCACTAAACAGGAAGCAAGTGAATTTCGTCATGTAAAATTAGAGCAAAGTGGAAATTGAAAAAAAATAAATTTTGTGACCTTTCCCCTTTGCCAGTTCTCAGAAAAGTGATGCTTTCCTGGAAAGTTGAAGATAGTTATTCTGAAATTACGCCTTCTGATTGGCTAATTAATTTGTTTTTATTTAAAAATAACTAAATCAGAGCTCTGATTGGTTAAAAAGGTCCCTGTCACCAGGGGGCGCCTGGTACTTGACCAGTGGCATTATTCCCTAGAGGATCTCCCTCTATTGTCTTAGTTTACGTAACTTACTAGATGAATGCCCCCTAGGGGGTACCCCTCAATTGCTATCAGCCTCGGACTAATTGACCATTATTTAAAACCAAAATGGCGTCAATATAAACAATAAAAATAAACATAAATTGAGACGTACAAACACATGAAGTTATGAATACATATAATAGTCATGGACACTAACACTACAGAAACATTCTCCTGCGATAAATCCTTGAACTTTTCTAGAATTGTAATAGAATATTTCTAGTACTTTTGGAATAGAACACCCTAAAATGTCCCTGATGAGTTCTATTACTCATCTTGTGCATTACTAGAATGTTAAAATATGTTAAATGAGACATTTGCTTGAACTTTACCAGAATACACAGGTTCATGAACATGAGCAGTTCTAGAACAATCAATATCTGGGATTCTTTTGGAACAACAGAAACAGGGACTCGTTTTGAATTAAAATACCAAGAACAGGTCTGGGACTGTTCTGGTATGTTAAATGAGACATGGGATTTGCCATAATATTTAATGTTCAGGTACTGTTCTGGAACAAAATTTATTATGTTTGTTCTTGAGCAGTTTTATAACTAAATGCATACAATTTTCTTAAAACAGATCTAGAACAGTTCAATAACTCTTTTCTAGTAAATATAATGATATATATATATACCATTATACTATTTATAAGTTTTATTCAACATCAATACCAATTTCAACACATTCAGTTTGTTCTTCCACAACAGGATATATATGATTCTCAAGTTTTGCTTAAAAAAAAACTTTCAAGAGCTAAAACTTTCATTTCTTTATTCAGTTAAAACTGAATATTAATGATCACTAATCAGATGATTTACGGACCTTCCTCCGCTCCATTTTCAAGAAATTATCAAACTTTTTTTTAAACACTTCCAAACTGATACTACATTTAGTCATGATAGCTGTCTGCACAACTGTTAATTTCTTGATATCAAATCCTGGTCTCAGGGTTTCCCCCGAGTTAACAGTTTTTTTTACCCATTCTAGAACAATTTAGGACTTCCTCATTTGTGAAAACTTTGTATATAAGAGTTCTTAAAATAGTAGAGATATCATTGGCTGACAAATGCAGCACACATTTCATTAAGTCATCAGATACTTCTCTTTGACTTGGAGCTTCAGGGTTTTCAGCTTTAAGCTTTTTCTTAAGTATATATGTACCTCCTTCTCTAGACTGTGTACCTTTCCCTCCAACTTTCGTACCTTGCTGAATAAAGAAATGAAATGATTTTAAGAAATGTTAACAGATGATGCAGATTTGATCTATGTTCGATGAAAAGCTATAATTATTTATATTAAATTAAATAAAGGAGGCCTGTCATCTAACAATGATTGATTATTCATAAAGTGTGCATTTCCATACAGGGGTGTGCAATTACAAAAATTAGTTACTCAAAGCCCGTTGGGATAGTGGCAGTAACAAAGTTACTAGCCCGAGGTTGCCAGTCACTAGCCCATTAACTACCAAAAACAATTCATGTATAAGGAAAACAAAAAGGTAAAAAAATATTTAAGTTGAAATAAATAAAACAAATAATGGTTTGCACTTAAAATGTTATTGTCAGGTACTTCTCCCTATTTTTATTGACTATAATTGTCACTGAAACAACTGGCGATAGCAAAACACAATACATATACTGTAGATCACTAATTTTTCGCGACACCTTATATTCGCGAGATAGTTATTGACTCTTGATAAGCGAGACAAAATTTTCACGAATTATGGTTATTGCTCTATATAATCTTAAGGAATACTATAATATGCGAGAATTAAATTTTCGCGAGTACACTGTCTCACGTAATTACGCGAAAATAAAGTTCTCGCGAATTAAAAGTGATTTACAGTAGGTTAGAACGGGTTAAAGATTATGATTTTACTACAAAGTTAATTCATACATCAATTCAGTGGATGTAAATATATGTATACTTTCGTTTTAGACTTACTACCCTGTCGAGGTATAGATTTATGATAGCCCGACCTCTAAAATTGGTAGCCCTGGGCATCGGGCAATGGCAAATTGCACACCCCTGCCATATTTTACTCTTTTAAAAATAAATCAAAGGCTTCCTAAATTTTGTGAACAAACCCCCCAAGAAATATGAACTTCTTGTATAAAATTTAATATCATTTGATTAGCAAATGATGAGCAAATGATGAGCATATTTGGAGCAAACTGCACCAAATTTAGTGTAAGATACTCAGG